TATTAAAATAAACCTTGAAAAGAAAAGAGAAAAATGTGCACACACACCCTAAAATGGAACATAATTAAATCGTTTTTAGTGACGTATGACTGGAATGAGCCAGAGTTGCATGCTGGTACCTGGGCACCACATATAAAATGGTGAAAAGTTGTGGGATGCTGCGTTTAGACTTGCCCGTCCCACCCCATTCCTTTATATGCCTCGCTTTCTCTACCCTGTTACCACATCACCTCTAGTGATTCAACCTTTCTTGGGGAACAAGGACTGAATTAGAATAATCTTGGAGTCATTTGGGTTGGGGATTTTTTTTTTCAATGATACATATTAGTCAAATTAGATTTTCGCTTTTAGTTTAGTCCAGTAATTTAAAAAAAAAAATTAAAATTATTCATAGGCAGTTTCACCTGCCTGGAAGGAACAGCTATACTGGAGCCTTGTTGGAATATTTTTATTTCATCTATACACTGAGGTAGCCTTACAATGAAGTCATTTGACGAAGCACGTTGCACTATGTTTAAGGCATGGTTCTTAAAGTAGGTCCCCTCTGTGATGGGTAAGAACAATGGATTTCTCTTATGTGGCCTTTCTGGCCCTGGGTTTGTAATTCTACTAAAATGACTGGTTGGACTGCAATCTGCCAAGTGATTGGTCCATTTGTTAGTTGCCTAAAAGACTTGCAAATCTACCCAATAGGACTGGTAGGTTTACAATCCACCTAAAGGACTGGTGGTTTATGAAAGTCACACCTTGAAATCGACAAGGAGTTTTCCTATACTAGCCTCCAATCTCACCGACCTCGTGATCAACAAAAGCCTGCAGCGTAATGTGTCCTGTGGACTGAGGTCCCTTTACTGAGAACCTCTTAGACCCAAATAAAACATCTGTACTATGTTTGAGTCAAGGGCTGTGACACTGAGCTGATAACACTGAAGACAGAGAGGACTAAAAGGCGCCCAGCGCAGAAAGAGCAGTCAGGGCAGCTGCCATGGGCAAAGTTCGCCCTTGAAGCGTAGTGAGACACCTGTGGGCAGGAGGCCACCAGTGATGCTGGGCACCCAGTTCGGGGGAAGCAGCCGCAGTCCGGGCCCATGCAGGAGCATGCGCAAGCAGAACAAGCGGCAGTGTGGGGCTGCATGGCCTGCCTTCGCCCCAGCTGCACTGAGAGCTGTGCTTTAAGGCCAAGAGGAGGCAGTTCCTAAGGGCTGAGAGGGGGCCAGTTTCGGGCAGGGACTTGCCAGCAGAGGCCTGGGTACATTTCTTTGCAGGGGTCACCAGCAGAGGTTAGGGAGACTGTGCAGCGGTCTTCCCGCGACAGGGCAGAACCTGCTATGCCAACCCCAGCCAGGCCCAGTGGCCGACCAGAGGGAGCCATATCGCCTGGGCAGCGTGGTGGGAGCCTGAGGGATCATGACGTGAACACAGCATCTGACCTGAACAACAGCTGCCTAGGCAGTGACATAAGACTGGGCATTGGTTTGTGGGGAAGGGTAAGTGGGTCCCTTTCCTATAAAGTGGGTCACGTTGTAGGGAGGTGAGACTAGTTAACCTTAAGTAATCTGTTTCTGCTGTTTACTCTTTGTTCTCTGTAAATTAGAATGATTTTCACTTTTCTAACACAGTGTAGGTGTCATCAGTGACTGCTGATCATACTGGATGAACATAGCACCCATGGAGTGGTTAATACCCCTGAGTGAAGTTCTCATGCTTAGTCTTATTGCTGCTTGTAATTCTGATGCAACTGTGTGCAATGCAGCAGTACTGTTACAGCGAGGCTCTGACAGAGTATTGCAAGGTTACAGATTTTTCAGCAGCCATTTTTGTATTAAAAATAGTCATTCATCTTATTTTCTCAAGATATGCAACAAAGCCCTTATTTTACAAAGATCGTCTTGTTACTCCATGTTTAGACAGTTTTGCAGATATGAAAAATATGTCATAAATTCAAGAAGCTGATTACAACATATTGAAAGCAGTGAGCTGTATTATGTATAATGTATATATTTAATGAGAATGAGATATGAACTTCATCAACAGTGAATTTAAAGAGAACGAAATGTCTTTTATCATCTTTTCTCCTTTCATTGTTTTGATAAAACCTAACTTAAAGGAAAGGTTGGCCGTTTGAACCCACCCAGTGGCTCTGCAGGAGAAAGACCTGGTGATCTACTTCAGTAAAGATTATAGCCTGGGAAACCCTATGGGGCAGTTCTACTCTGTCAGATGGGGTTGCTATGAATGAAATTGACTCAATGGCACCTAAGAACAACAAAAATTCTTCTGTTGTTCAAATACACATTTCTTTTTAAGACAGATTCTAACAATTATTTGGTCATGGTGGTGAGGTCAAGATTTAAGATTATACTCCCTATAATTATTCAGACCAGACTATTACATACACAAAAAAGCAAAATCAAGATTTAAAATAAAATTTAAAAAATGTACAATTAATGATTTCCTCAAAAAAACAGGTCTAAAAAGTAAGACGTTTCAGTAAGCTGTGCACACTGTGTGTGAGTGTATGTATAGCACTTTATGCATTCTAAGAGAAACTGAACTACAATGTGTTACTTTTTTGAGGGAGGAAAACATTGAAAAGATTACAAAGTCCAACAATAGGTGAAGGTTGGTACTATCATGTCTATTTAAGCACTCCACAAACATGCAAATGACAAGGCAGAATCCATTTTCATTTACCAAAAAACCAAACCCGTTGTCATCAAGTCAATTCCAACTCATAGCGACCCTATGGGACAGAGTAGAACTGCCCCATAGAATTTCCAAGGAGCGGCTGGTGGACTCGAACTGCCAACCTTTGGTTAGCGGCCAAGCTCTTAACCATTATGCCAACAGGGCCCCTATTTTCATTTAAGGACATCTAAATTATATTGAAATACTTTAAGGTTGCCATTCTGAATGGGAGAGTTTTCTGTTATACTAACTAATACAAATTGCATTTTGGGCTTTGTAAAATCTACCTGATTGTCTCGTGACATTTACTCTTCCTTACATGTAACTCATTTAATGATGAACATACAGATATAGCAATACATGTAACGCTTAACATACGTAATGATATGGCACTGAAGAATATTACAAACTCAGAATATCAACTGAATTGACATCAGTTAGCCTGATTTGTATACATTATAAATGAAAACAAGTGTGCCATTCCACAATAACCTCAGCTTTCTGAATAAACTGTAAATCTTCTGAAAATATAAGCTGTAAAAAATTCAGTGCTAAGTATTATGTGCTTGGGTATTTGTAAATTCTTTTGTGGATATTGCCTATAAATATGTCTGTATATTTAAAGAATATATTTCAAGTGTTCTAAATATGCAGAGAAATCCTTCATTCTTCCATAGCATGTAATAGAAAGAAAAAAAAAAAAAAGCTGGAGAGTAAAAACTTTTTTTTTCTCTGTTTCAGTGTAAGTGCTTTGCCTTTTTAATGCAGAACACCCAGATCCCTCCAAGCTGTATGGAAATTATACAGGTTTTCTCTTTCCATTTATAAAAAAAAAATCAAACAGGCAAACCTTACATTAGGCAGAGTTTTGCTACTCAAAATGAGTCCATAGACACATAGCAATAGCATCACTTGGGTGCTTGTTAGAAATGCAGAAATCTCAGGCCCCACTGCAGAGCTACTGAATGAAAATCTGCATTTTTATCAAGGTACCCAAGTGATTTGAACACACATCAAAGTTTGAAAAGCACTGATTTAGAACTCTCCATAATTGATCTAATTTTTCATAAATTAACCATATCTAAACAACTAATATATAAGTAAGTATTCCACATGTATCCTTTACTTTAGGAGTATTCAAGATTTATTGTGTAACAGAATAACCAAGGGAGGTTTTTAAAAATAAAATGTAGATTTTCAGGTTTTCCCTCAGACATTAGAATTCAGTAGATCTTTCAGATCCAGTTTCCCCAAACTACTGCTCTCCTGAACTGAAGTAAATTTAATAACAATATCAATTAATTTTAACAGCTCCAAATCGTAACAAAATACCTAAGGCACAAGAAAGTAACATGCAAACTGCTTCTGTTAAATTTTGAAAACACTTCAAACTTTTCCTGGAACTGTTAATCTTAGAAATAAAAACACCTGGCATTAAAGAGTCCTGTTCCATTTATAACACAAGATGAAATCATTCTTTATTTTTCTTTTTTCCCCAAGAAAGTCCATTATTTCCACAAAGGATAACAATGTAATTTATTGGAGGCCATAAATTGACACTGCACCCATTGGCATGGATTACCTCTTGTACTACAGAATAAGACCAAACATGTTGCAGAAAGTGCTACTTATAACTCTTCTAAGGCCCCAAATGCAAATACATCCAGGAACTACACAGGTAACCAAGGGGAGAAGCAGGAGAGTGACACCCCAATTACTGACATTCAAGTTCAAATCTTAAAAAAACCATGCAGAGAAAACTAGAACACCTGTATGGAGAACTTTCAGCCCGTGACCTTTCTGTTTCCAGTATCTGTACTGGCATGGTTTTTCAAGTACTACCCGCTTCTAGTTACATATCCAAGGACAAATTTTTATTATTAGTTTGCTCATTTGGCTCATTTGGGAACTTGCAGTTCTAATTTTACTTGAACCAGCAAAATATGGTGGTACAACAGGCTTATAAACTACACCAGGCATACAAAACCAAGTGGATTTTTTACAGATATAGTGGTAGGCTATGGCTATTGCCTATAGGTTTGAACAGCTCTAATTATTTTTTCTAACAAATTCTGTAGTGGAGTCTTACAGAAGATGTTGTCAGTTTGCATTCTTTTGTACCACATAACAAATCTTCTTCAGAGAACCCCAAAATTAGACTATTTGTGGAGAACCTGTCTTCCCCTCACCGGTTATGCTTATTATGTATAAGTGTATAATGTGAATTTACTTTGTTGCTTTTGTTCTGTTTCCAAACTTCCCCTAGAGGTATCTTTCTTTATATTACATTTCTAAAATTAAAAACAAAGCTGTTCACATGTTCAATATGTACTTTTATTTTAAATACCAGCACAACAAACACAATGACATAATAGGACCATTACCTTAATAATACTGATAACATTCCTTGACAAGGTTGGCTTATAATTTATATACATTGTTGTTTTTATCCAGAGCTATTTTAAATATTATCTTAAGATACACTGTAAAACACAAATCTTAAATATACAGGAGTTGCAAACATAATGTGCTTAGTTACTGATTTCCTTGTTATTTAAATAAAATGATTTAAAGTTCCTCAAAATCATGTCCACTTGTGTTCATTGTTTCAGGATGCATAACTCGTCCCATAAATAGGATTGTGCCTGTATTGGGTTGGAAGTGAACAAAAGAAGGGGTGAACAAAAAAGAGGGTTAAGCAAAAGAACGAGATACTTATTTTTTTCTTGCATATAATTAGCAAAATCCTAAAAATGAAAATATAAGTAAATGTATTTTCATTTTTTAAAACTTATCTGAACAGTAGACATTTTCTGATAAATACTGAGAAAAAACATGCTCTGAATTCAATAAAACAGTTTCATTGTGCCCTATTAAATAAAGTTCTCTTCTCATAACAGACTTACCTGTCCTCCTGTTCCTGATAAGAAAGAAAAATGGATGGTCGATAATAACTTGCGGATACAGTACTGCCATCCTACTAATTGCAATCATTCCTAGAGCACAGAGAGAAAGTAATTACATGTCTGTGTATGTGCAGAGCCTAATGAGTAACGCCTCAAACCCATTTGTTTAATCAAAGGCAACAATTTACAGGAAGCAAGATTCTGAAGTTTTTTAAAGAGAGAAAAACTGTAAAGGTATTAACATTTCTACTTGATCTGGTAAAGAAAACAAACACCCACAAAACAAAATCTCTCCCCACGCCAAAAATAATAGAAGAATTCATTCCGTCTCTTTCAAAATTTTTATTCTCAGTCTCAGATAAATACTTGGAGCTGTACTAAAATGACCTTTGATTTATGGTGGGAAGGAGAGAGAGGGAAACAAATAAAACACCAAACAACAACAACAACAAAAACTAAAGACAGTTTCTTTATATTTCAAATCATTATTTCTTTTGTCTGAAGTGTGTGTTTTTACATAACAAGCCACCCCACTCCTAGTGAATGGTCAGGATGGCAGTGATTAAAGGGCAAATACAGCAGGCGAGCTGCAATGGTGTTTCCTACAGATGGGAAGCTGAATTCCCCTGTAATCCTTATTATGGGATGATAGTTCGCAGGGCAGTTAGTTGTCAGAAAAAAGGTCAAGATAAAATCATGTAAGATTTTAAACTTTCTTAATGCCTGAGACTATTATTTCTATTTCCCCCTGAAAATACTATTATATCTGGTGAAACACTTTTAATGGACAAATATGTGCAGAAGCTAGAAATAATGTGTGCAAATATAATGTTAACATTATATCTGTGGGAAAAATAAATCCTACTAAAATGTGATGATAGTTGCTGAAACAGGATTGGAAAAAAAAAATCCCAAAAATGAAAGGGAAAGGGAAAATCATTTTCAGTTAACTAGGGAAGTCAGAATTATCATAATGATCAAGGACATTTACCATCATGCTTTGGACACATGCTTTATGTAAAAGTGCTTTAAAAAAAAAAAATTATGTTACATCCTATCACATACTCTTGAATAAAAACTTTTCACTTACAAAATTAAGAACCAACTTCCATGAGAAATTAGGTAGGAAGAAAAATATTCAAACAGGCAGCAGGGAAATATTTAAAATATTTAAACAGGCATCACAGCAGGAAATTCTATTCTCATAGAACCGCCAAGGTCCTCCTGCCTCTCAGAGAAAAACTGGAGAGAGGAATTACACTGTAACAGGCCATCAGAGTGAGTGCAAGCTTCACATCTGATTTAGAAAATTTTGGCTGCTTCAGCATTAGCTTGACTTCTGAGTTACAGCAGAGTCAGTTTTTTGGCTTGGTTCTGAAAATGATCCCCACCCCTACTCCAGATTTCTTTAAAAATACAAATACACAAAAGGTGAGAAGATTTTAAAAAAAACAGCTTGGTACCTGAGGCAGCAGCAGCTTCTGAGCCTTCCTCATTAACCTCTATGAAGGACTTGTGAATTGCTTTGGAAAGGAAAATATCTTTGTTATCTGCAAAAAGAGAATTAGAAGCATTACTTTAGTATCAGGTAGGGGAATAGTTTAACCTTTTGTTAAATGGGTTTGTGGGATGTAAGAGATATAAGATACCGATATGATACAGAACAGATAATGTTTTAAGATCACATTTATGATATAAAGGAACTGCTGAAGACACAGTTTCTAATTTGTCCTTGTTTATATTCCCTTGTTAATCTTCTCCTTCATTTTTGTTGGTGATTTTTCCTTTTTTTGTTTCTTATATTGCCAGAAAAATAGAAAATGTGGCTCTGTTTTTGATGACTTCAAATTAGTTCATAACTCAAGAGTAAAAGGTTTAAATACTACTCTCTAATTTGAAACCTTAAATGAGAAAATGAAAACATAAAATTAAATCCAATTGTTACAAAAATAAGAAGTAATGTTTTTCTTTTTTTAAAAAAAAAATCTAATTTCTAATTACTAAGATAATGTAAAAATTCTTAACAAAGAAAAATAAAACTGACTTCTAGGTTTTAGAAATGTGAATATATAAAAAAGTTACTTTCAATTCCAGTTAATTGGTTTATCTGACGATTCACAAACATTCTTTACCTTAATATCAGAGGAAATAATACTCTTTCAGTATTAGGAGGACTGCTGTTTTTTTTGAACTTCTTTTATAGTATACTTACTTTCAAGTTACTGACTTTCAAACAAGGGTTTCCAATTTTTCCCCAAGATTAAAACAAAACAAACAAAAGAATGCCCTGCAAATAAAAACAAAAATAGCACAAGGAAGCAGGATGAAGTATACTCAAGTTTGTACCACTTTGTTTTCAATTCCAGGAGGTCTAATTCAAATTTAAGATAAAAAACTGTGTTGCTGAAGCCCAGGGCCATTCAGGACCATCTCTGGATAGACTTTAAATAAGGATATTACTTCCTCATATCACATTTCATATTAAAATATAAGCACTATATTATTAAACAGTCCATCTTAGAGGTTACGATATTTTCTTCCAGAATACATTTGATGACTACAAGAAAAGTAAGAGGCAATCAAGTTTTCACATTAAGCAATGAAGTATAATTAGCTCCCTCAAATTCACAGGACTAGGTTTTCTCTTTTTCGGATTTTTTTAACAAAAGGAAACATATAAATTACCTTAAGTAACCACACAAATACATTCAGTTGGCTAAACAAACACATGAATTCCAAGACAGTAAAATATTTTAACTATTTAGCAGGTAACTGATTCTGTATTATTTTTAGATTCTGCCACTCATTTTTGTCAGTCTGCCAGTTAAAGAGACAATATTATGGCCCTGTATGCAAAATTGACACAACCTGGTTCCGAAAGGGTAATGAGTGTCCACATCGTCAGCTAGGCTCTCCTCAAATGTTCTGAGAGGAGTTCTTCTCAAAGACACTGAATGTTTCAGTCACATCCAATTTGCACAGAGAAAACTCTGCCACTGGGCCTAACCTGCTGGCTACGTAGGGTTCTTAAAACAATGACTCTCATCCCCTGTAAGAATGTCCTCCGCCCAAAGTATAACTTCCTCTAGTCACCTGTCTTTTCATATGCTCTCATTTTCCCACACAAAATGGCAGAGGTGCTGATGGCCATAAGGATACTGCAAGGTATGTACAGCAGGAAGATTAAGAAAACAAGGATGCTGAGGGCTCTTCCAGGAGATCTAGGTTTTGTTTTGTTTCTCCTTTTGTTTTAAAGATAATGAGGCAGACAAACCTTTAACAAGATTCATGAAGGAAAAAAAGAGACTACCCAAATAAACAATATTAAGAACAAAAAAAGGAACGTATCTAAAGATACAGAAGAGAATAAAAAATCACAAAAATGCTATGCATAATTTTATGCAGAAAAAATTTTGATCAACTTAATGAAATATCATTTATTTACTACCAGAGTGAACAATTTGATAAGTTTTGATAGATGTTTATATCATGAAACCATCTCCACAAACAAGAAATGGAATACTTCCATCTCCCTCAAATGATTCCTTGTGCCTCATATGCAGATAACTTTGAAAATGAACCAATTTTGCATGATTTCGATAATTGTAAAGAAAAGCATAAATTATAAAACTGAGTCAAGGAAAAAAATAGAATATCTGAGTAATCCACTAATAATTAAATCAGTAGATAAAAATCTTCCCTCATCTCAAAATTAAAGACTCCAAGTCCAAATAGTTTTCTAGGTGATCTAAAACAGTTCTTCAAGGAACAGATAGAATTATCTGTTATAAAACCTTTCCAGACACTAGAAAGAGAATAAAAACTATTAACTCAACTCTGGCTAATGATATCTTGCTATCAAAATTGAACAAGGGCAGTATAAGAAAAAATAAATCAGACCAAACTCGCCTATTAAAAGGTAAAAGTTTTTTAAAAAATGGGAAAATTAAACCCAGCAATGAGTTTCAAGAGATGTCACAGTGTGTCATGACAGGGCAGTTGAGATCTGTTCTCCTAACTACTCCAATTCACAATAAAGTTTCCTCCGGGATGAACTTTTCAAAATACAAACTAGTTTATGCCACCACACAATTAACAAAAACAACACTACGTAAGACTCTTCAGCCCCTCCCTGCTCGTTCTGCCTCCCACTTCACCTATCAAATATGTCATACCTGCATACCTGCTTGTACAATCTAAACACCTCTATGGGGTTCCCTCTGCCTCATTCATTTAGTTTAAAAATATACAACACCAAGCATTCTTCACCCCATACACTGAGCTCCAGGTGAACTAAACTGCGATAACCTGAACACGGGTCTTTGCTTCCTTGAACATCCGCTTGATCCCTGCTGTCCAGTCAGACACCTAATCTACTTTAAGGCTGAGCTTCTAGTTCTGTGAGGCTTCTTCTGCTCTCCTCTGACTCCCACCTCCCTTCCCTCAACTAAAGTAGAACTGCTCACTCCTGCCCACTGGACCCAGATCTAATTAAATTGAATCACTGATAATATATTTCATTGCTGTGTCCTGGTCTGTCAACTTCCTTAAGGCAAGGATGTGTCATTCCTCATTGTAGCCTTGGCTTCTGGCACTTCACTGGGGCCTAATGAATGAAGTAACCTAAGTAGAAGGAGTTGGCTGGTCATGTGTAATTTTCCAGTATTTAACACAGTGCGTAACATAAATAAGGGTTCAGTAATTATTGAATGAAAAAGTCTAGTTATTTTATATTCTAAGGCTTTGGGTTTTTCATATTCACTTTCTGGGCACCTGAACCACAATGCCATTCACTAGCACGGCTATAAAGTTTATTGCTGAAATAAATAAAACAGATGACACTAATCCACAGTAGATGCTCCAGAAAAATTGATGGAGAACAGCAACAGAGAAGAAAAAGAGTACAAAAGTCACACACACTAAAAACCTTAAAATCTGATCAAGTTCAAGAGCAAGGGAATAGGATCTAGCAGTCCAGTATATAGTATACAGTAGGAAAAAAAAAAAGCCACTACCATCGAGTCCAACTCATAGTGACCTTATAGTATATAGTACATATTTCAAAAAGACATAATATATAGTATGTTCAGTACATAGTATATATTTCAAAGAGGGCAAAGTGAAGATCGAATTCAGTGTTCAGACTCTCTGAAGGTGATTAGCTGCTACATGATGGGTGGCAAATGTCTGCAGATGTAAACTTGACCTTAGGACATTTAACCTTCAGTGTTTACCCTCTCTTTGCATATACGTGGGAGAATATGAGACAAATAAAAGATCACATCACAGATACTGAGAAAAAAAATGAAACTTTTTTTCTCTTGGGACTGACTTCAAACAGTCATATTAAAATAAAAGTTGAAAGGGTTTAAGCCAAGTATGTGTTTGCAGGAATATAGGCAGCTCACAGCTCCCTATGCTCCATTTTAATATTACAGTCAGTTCTCCCTATCCATGGGTTCCCATCCTCAGATTCAACCAACTGTGGATTGGAAATATTTGGAAAAAAAGTAGATTTTCTTTCCTTGTAATTACTCCCTAAACAATACAGAATAACAACTATTTGCATAGCATTTACATTGTATTAGGTATTATAAGCAGTCTAGAGATGATTTAAAGCATATGAGAGGATGTGCATAGGTTATATGCAAATACCATGCATGCCATTTTATACTTGAGCATCTGAAGATACTGGTATCCACTGGGGTCTTGGAACCAATCCTCCTTGGATACTGAGGGCAGACTGTACTCATGTCTATGTAAATGTGTATCAATCGAGTCCATGTTTCCTGTTAGGTGATACACTCCTTGAGGGCCTGGACTTTGCCTGCCCTATTCATCTCACATCCACGATACCGCACACACTGCCCGGCACAAAGTAGGCACTCAGGTCATTGATGAATTGAATCAGAATATGAGGTGGGGGTTGAGGAGAATAACATTCGTGAGTTGGTCTTATTAATTAGAGCAAAGTTAGCTGCTATCTCAAAAATAAAAAAAAATCTGAGGCAAACAGAGCTAAAAAACAAAACAAACAAACAAACAAAAACCATTCTGTCCACAAGCCTCAAATATACGGCTCCTTCTGGCCATGGTAGACTTTGCTGCCAAATGACCGGTCCTACTTTTCTGCAGGCAGCATGGAGCCAAGCTTTTCACAATGGAGATGATGGGAACAAGGTCAGTGAACCTGAGGTTCCCCAGAGAAGAGCTGGGCAACAATTCAGCTCCTCTGAAGAAAACAGAACAAACTACTAAAGCATTTATTCAGTCATTGAGCAAATATTTATTGAGCACAAGGCATTGTGCAGGGCATCAAAGGCTCTAGGCATCTGCGATTAGCATAATGCTGGCAGGATGGTTATCATGGAAGAAATGCCACTACTTTCCTCGGGGCACGGTTCCTAAAAACAGTCAATTTAAATAGCTCTCTATATCACCAGGGACATGTTTAAAACAACAAAATGGAGAGAGTATCATAACAGAACCAAGAATACCAAAAGTGTCTCTGTGCTTCAGTTGCTGAAATATTTTTAGCTTTAGCCCCACC